TGGTGTGGGTCAAAATATACTGTCTTAGTCGGCGAGCAGCCCATGCCAAAGTGCAACAAGTTTTCTCGAGTAGTGAGTATCTTGTTTCATAGTCGGTAAATTTTTTGTTAAGGTATTATATTGCATGCTCTTTTCGACCAGACTCGTCATGCTGCCCCAGCACACACCCCATTGAATTATTTAACACTGTTAAGTACATTATCAAAAGTCTTCCTTCAATCGGAGGCATCAAAATTGGAGGCTCTTGAAGGTATTCTTTGATTCTTTCGAAGGCAGTTTGGCATTCGTCATTCCATTTTACCACTTGATCTTTCTTCAGGAGTTTGAAGATTGGTTCACAAGTAGCAGTTAAATGGGAAATGAACCTGGCAATGTAATTTAGGCGTCCTAAGAAGCCTCTGACCTCCTTCTCAGTGCGAGGAGCCGACATCTCTTGTATAGCCTTCACTTTTGCAAGGTCTACCTGAATTCCCTTGTCACTGACAATGAAACCTAGGAGTTTACCAGACCTTATCCCGAAGGTGCACTTGTTCGGATTCAACCTCAGCTTGTACGTCTTCAACCTGTCAAACAACTTTTGTAGATGATCAAGGTGTTCTTCCTTTGTTTGAGACTTGGCTATCATGTCATCAACATAGACCTCTATTTCATGGTGAATCATGTCATGGAACAATGCTACCATGGCTTGCTGATAGGTTTCCCCAACGTTCTTCAACCCAAACGACATCTCTTTGTAGCAGAAAGTTCCCCATTATGTGACAAAGGCTGTATTCTCCATGTCTTAAGGTGCCATCTTGATCTGATTGTAACCAGAGAAACCATCCATGAATGAAAAGACCTTGTGTTGTGCGGTGTTGTCGACCGGAATGTCAATGTAGGGAAGCGGAAAGTCATCCTTGGGGCTTGCCCTGTTCAAATCTCGATAATCCACACACATTCGTACCTTGCCGTCTTTTTTAGGCACCGGGACCATGTTAGCAACCCATTAGGGATAATAAGTGACAACTAGGAACCCAGCGTTGAACTGTTTCATAACCTCTGCTTTAATCTCCTCTAACATTTCAGGGCGTATACGACGGACCTTCTGCTTTACCGGAGGGCAATCTTCTTTAGTTAGCAGACGATGAACCACAATATCTGTGTCTAGTCCAGGCATATCTTCATATGACCAGGAAAAGATCTCTCCATAATCATGCAATATCTGTATCAAACGATGTTTGACATTAAGCCCTAAACTTGCACTGATCTTGACTTCTTTCCTGTCTTCCTCTGTGCCCAAATTCACTATCTCAACTGGCTCTACATGGGATTGTGTAGTCCTTTCTTCTTGTTGCAATAGCCTTGCTAGCTCTCCTGGTACCTCACAATCTTCCTCACCTTTGTCCTCAACTTGGTTGATCGGATTTTCAAAGTCATAACCGACAATAGCAGAACTGTTATCAATGGGATCCGTAGTGGATATGGATCTACATTTTGATACGTGAGTGTGTGTAAGAGCATAGATGTATAGACAAAGTAAAAAGTAGAAAAGAAAAAACAGAGAGCGCAAAATTTGTATGCATAAACGTCCAATGCTTTATTAATTCCATATGAAATTGAACTATGATAGCCCTCACAAGTAAACCATTGTGCCCCGGATAATACACATGGCCGTAAATTTTATACTGTTTATTACATATCCAAAAAACAAAAATACAATTACTTTTGAATAAAAGTAATCGGTATAAAGTCTCTTTCGGTCCAGTTACTGAGTCCACCATTGGCAGTAGGGAAGATCCAGTTGTCCATGTCCTCGTCACCATCATTGTCTTCCAAGGCGTTGACCCCATGATTGCTGATACGGAGGGGAGGTCCTCTAGCACGAGCACAACGAACAACCCTTTGAGCCCCTGAAGAGAAACCTAAGCCAAATTTGTCAGACTTGTATGGTATGTCGGGAGCTGACCCCAAATGGTAGACTCACCTCCTTCAATAACTGCTTTTGCATCCTTGAGAGAAGCCATCTTCAAGGGAGGTCTAGTGATCTCTGGCAGATTGGTGACAGTTTCGGTTGCAGCCATAGTCTGAGGCACCTCTTTGAAAGTATGACACAGAGTCTCGATGAACTCGCCATCCATTTCTACATACCTGAAGGAGTTCAGGTGATTGACCATGTAGTCTTCCTCACCGTGTACAATGACAATCTTTCCTTTTACCAGATATTTCATCATCTGATGCAGAGTAGATGTGACAACTCCCACCCCATGGATCCAAGGGTGATCCAATAAACAAGAATAGGATGGTCTGATATCCATCACGAAGAAGGTAGAGTCGAAAGTCTGAGAACCGAATTTTATAGGGATGTCTACCTCCCTGTGCACCATCCACTTTGAACCATCGAAAGCCCTTACCACTATGTTGCTGGGTTTCAAGGTCAAACCTTCACAGTCTAGTATATCCAGAGTCTTCTTGGGCAGCACATTCAATGATGAACCAGTATCTACCAGGACGTGGGCCAAAGTAGTGCCCCGATATTCGACGGAAACATGTAGCGCATCATTGTGCTTTCTCCCTCGAGGTTTCAAATCAGCATCAGAAAAACCTAAACCATTATCCGCCGTCAGACTGGCCACACAATCTTCAAATTGATCTGCAGAGGTTTCCTGTGGCACGTGGGCCGTCTTAAGGAACTTCACCAAAGCCTTTGCATGGGCTTTGGAGCACAATAGTAAGGCCAACATAGAAATCTTTGAAGGGGTCTTCCCCAGTTGCTCGACCATATTGTAGTCGCTCTTTTTGATGATCTTCAAAAATTCTTCCATTTCCTTCTTGGAAGCCTCTGGGATAGATATTGATTACGCCTTCGTCCAGACAGGCTCAACCAATATATTTTTGCCCCGAGTCTCGGTCGACTCGGTGATAGGGGCGTCAACAGGGATAATCACAGGAACTGTAGTAGTAGTATCAGTAGGAACAAGAGTAGGAATAATCACAGGATCAGTAATAGCTTTTTGAGGAGAAATCTCTGGGGAGAACACTCTTCCATTTTTGGTTATTTTGTTGGTTCCCACGATGTTGCCAATGTCGGGGTCAGCCTCCTCAGTAACCTGGTCTTCATCAGCCATCCATTCTTGCTTGACGTCGTGGCAATAAACGTCACCCCTATAGTTCCAGGGAACAACTTTGTCTAAGGAGTATGGGATTGACCCTGACATAGTAATTATCAAAGGAGTCACCTTCGGAACAGATGTAATCCTGACGGGTCTTTTGGTGGAGACCCTGGGAGGATTAGCGGAAATGGTTATTATTGAAACATCCTTGTAAGAATTGGTTGGAACGAGAGTCTTTTCAAACAAAATCTCTTTATCGTCCACCAGGCGCTGGACACCTGCCTTCAACAAATGGCAACCAGTCGATAGAGATAAACAGAGGTGGCAACCTTCGCCATAGTCCGGAAATAAACCGGCCTTCAACAGGATCCTCTTGATGGTTAGAAGAGGGGTAACAAGTTCATCAACAGCAGTAATGAATACATCATCTTCAACAATGTTAACACCCCGACCGTGCTTGGGCATAAGAGCAGTGATAATATTTGGAGTCTCAGGGGCGTGAAATTCAATTTCCTTCGCCTCGAGAAGGTCTTGCACCTTGTTTTTCAAGGTCCAACAGTTGTTGGTATCATGGCCCGGACTTTCTGAATGGTAAGCACAACAAGCATTAGGGTTGTAGTGAGGAGAGGTAGTGTTGGGATTCTTCGGAGCTTCCCGTAGGGTTACCAGATTGGTCTTCAATATCTGTTAGGAACATCTTTTTAACAATAAATAAAGAAAATATATAAACTTAAGAGAGACTTAGAAAGTGACTTGTGACAGCTAGTCTTCAAGAGATATCTCCAGTCGTGCCATTGCTCATCAGCCGATACAAGATTGGGTGAAGAGAGAAACTCTTTCACACTCCCCTATCCACACACTTAAACTCTTGGTGTTTTTCTCTTAGAACAGATGATTTCTATTTCATTTCTTATTACATCTCTATTTATAGACCAAGGATTAAGATTTGTGTTGCATTAGATCATAGACCTAATATGAGAAAATCACATCAATCTCATACAAAAGAATAACGCCAACACATCAAATGCCACTGCTTAAAGAACAAGGAATCAGGTACATGGAGACAAATAATGGGAGACAAAGTGTAGCATGTCAGACTATCCATAGCAAGCACAAGCGACTGCACAGACTGCGTTGTTGTACCTTCTTTTATCCTTTAGCGCCTAAATTTTATCTTTTGAATGGTTTATTTCTATTTTTCAGCAAAACAAGGTTTTCCCTCTATTATATTCTTCCTTCCCCTTATAAACTAGTTGCTTGCATTATTTATTTTCCTTTCCTTAAAATCTTTAATTTATCTTCAGCTTATGCCCTACGCAGCAAACTACTGTTCTTGACAACTTGTAGAAATTTGTGAGATGTGTTCAATGGTTTCATGATCTAGTCCTACAGAAGGATATTGCATAAAGAATCTTCAGTAAATCTGCTTTCATCTCAGCTTGGTGTGCATTCCTATGTGAAATTTAAATTGAACAAGCACTTGTTACTACTTAGTACTACTATTCTCACATTCTTTATTTTTTGTTTCTCCAACCAATATGTCAATTTAGTTTGTATGTTATACTCTGAACTCCAAAGTAAAAAGCTGCAATCTTAATGATTCTCACCAACCCTGGTTAGGATTGCATCTACAAAATAGTGCATGACACTTGAAATCTTATCCTTGGATTTAATTTGCCTAATATATAAATAAAGTTGTTCAGATGTATTGAAAATGAATTGGAACTTGGTGGTGTCAGTGACATGATAATATACTCATATAATAATAATAATAATATATAAATAAATAATATTCAATTGGTTTGTTTATCAACCAATCAATGCCCATCATCATTTTGACCAACCACCAATTAATTATTCTCCATTATACCAATATATGAATAGAATACAAAGAAACTACTCCTAGGTGAAATGGCTATGGAGAAGAAAATTTCAACAGAGATAATTGATATAGAGAAACTTCCAGATCATGTGGTGATAGAGATATTGATAAGAACAAGAGTGAATGATTGGACACACATATCATGTGTCAAGAAGCAGTGGGCTTCTCTTTTCCAAACTGAATGTTTCTGGCAAGCTGCTCTTTCTCACATCTATCCTTCTCAAGCATGCCCTGGACCTATTCCTCCACCCTTAGCCAAGAGGTATGTAATGTAATAATAACCCTCCGCTACTCTTTGTGACACAGACTCTCGCTAAATAAAATGATATTGTATGTTGATGATTTTAGGAGATTCATGGCCTTACATATAAGTCAACAGATATTAGGTTGCGATAATGATATACAAGTAGATGAGATTGTTGGACAGAGTTATCTGTTTTTGAAAGAGCAGCTTCAACTTTCTAATATGTCTCCTCATAGTGGAATACTTCATGGAACCATCATTGGTATGTGTCATACCACACCCTCTTTACTTTTATTGCTACATAAAATGTTTTATTACAACTTTGATCATTTCTTTTCCATTTAGCAGATCAGTTTCTTACTTGTGGCAAATCAAGAGATGTAGCTCATGAACTTTCATCTATGGTTTGGCTTGCTGTTATTGATAGTTTGGAAGAAAACCACCACACCTTTTGCTTACTTAAACGCCTTGCACACGAAGGGGATGTAAGTTTTAGTTACGATCTTTGTCTTTGTCACACACAATAACTTAGATTATAGTTTGATAAACTACTTCAACTAGCCTTTGAAATTTTCTCTTGATTTTACTAAGTTTTCTTCTAAGTTTTACTCATCAATATTTTGTCTCTTTGGACCATCTAATTAATTTTGGAATCATTTTCAGCAGGTTTTTCTTCCACATCCTTACGCTACATCTGTCAAAGTTCAATGGAGGGTGTTTGAGAAACTTTTTACTGATTTTCGTGATTGCTTCAACCATATAGAATATTATGATATGTTGGCATGTGCTAAAAGTAGGTTTCAGCCAATACCATCTACTTGGTTAGGTTATTAGCATACATGACATTCTCAAAGCATCAAGCTAAACATAATCTCAGTTTAATTCTTATAGTAGAAATTGACTAGTGTTATTAAATCTCTTTAGAGAGAGTGCTATCTGTTACAAGTTATCCAAACAATTAGGTGTTGGATTTCTATATTTGACTTTCTATTACTAGTATTGAGTTAGTTTTGTTGGCTACAAATTAACATTCCCTCATTGTACTCAAATATGAATTCAGAATCAACAGAAATTACTTTTTCTTTTTTTTACCTTCTCTCTCGCACCCTTTCTCTCATCAAGTGTGTGTGTGGTTTTCGATTGAGGGATCCTTGCGTCACACGCAAATCTCTAAACAAATATTCCTGTTCTCAATAGAAAAAACTGGGATCGATGGCGTGTGCAGTTGAAGGCAAATCTGGGCTGTCGCAAAAATCGTCCAAAGGAAATTTCACAGGTCGAGGTTGTGGGAGATATTCTAGAGGAATCTTTGGAAGAAACATTCATAGCTAGGATCAAGGAAAGATTGATCAAGATCAACCAAAAAGCTTCAATAAAATAGGGAGTTTTAGTAATTGGCGAGGAAAAAAAGGTGTTGACAGAAAAAGAATTAAATGTTTCAATTGTAATGGGATTGGACATGTTTTCACATAATGTGTAGCTATAACAAGTCACACACATCATCGAGTGAGTCAATCACATAGTAATCATCATGCACACATGACCAAAGATGATAATGAAGCAAATCCTGAAGAACAGCCTTTGATGCTGATGATGATCACCAATCTAGAATCTCACCACTATGTAACTTGGTATATCGATTATTGGTATTCAAATCACATGACAAGTCATTGTGGCTGGCTAGTTAATTTTGATGCAAAGAAGAAAAGAATGCTAAGGTCTGTAGACAACAACAGAGTTATCGAGGCTGAGGGTGCTGGAAATGTGTTAGTCACAAAGCAAGATGGGAGGAAAGTTGTGATCTCAGATGTGCTTTATGTTCTTGGAATGAAGAGTAACTTGATCAGTATGGGAAAGCTTTTGTAAAAAGGATTCTCAATGCACGTGATTAATGGTTTTCAGGAGATCTATGACACAATTGAAAGAATGATCTTGAAAGCTCCATGGGCCAGAAAGAAGAAATAGTACCATATCCATGATCATATTTTGTTGGCTTATGAGATTATAAAAGGGTATTATGAGTTTATAAAAGGGTATAGTGTCAAAGGAGGCCCTCCAAAGTGTATGGTTCAAATGAATTTGCAGAAAGCATATGATATAGTTGAATTGTGCTCTCTGAAAGCTATTTTGAAGGAGCTTATGTTAACTGTCATTTTTGTCTCATACAGGTACAATGTTAATGGTATTCACACTAAGATTCTCAAGGATAAGAGAGATCTTAGACAAAGGGGTCCACTCTCCCCCTTATTGTTTGTGATTGTAATAGAATATCTTCATAGTGTGATGTAACAATTAGAGGACAACCACAATTTCAATTTTCACTCCAAGTGTGAAAAACTTAAAGTAATCAATTTAATTTTTGTTGATGATTTACTCGTCTTCACCAGAGGAGACAGTGGATCTATTTGATTGGCCCTGCATTGCTCTAAGGAGTTCTCTATGTCTACTGGTCTGTATGTCAATCCTAATAAATGCAAAGTCTTTTATGGAAATGTCCCTTCTGATGAACAATAGGTAATCCAAACTATATCTTCAGTTCCTACTGGTACTCTTCCCTATAGGTACTTAAGTATCCATCTCACTAGCAAAAAGTTATCTAATAACCAATGCATGATTCTTGTTGACAAAATTGTGGTTAAAATTATGCATTGGTCTGCTAGATTACTCAGTTTTACAGGGAGGTTGCAACTCATAAAAAGTGTCTTATTTGCCATTGTGAACTATTGGATGCAATGCATCCCAATTCCTAAGAAAGTGATTAGAGTTGTTGAAATTGTGTGTAGATCTTATATTTGGGTTAGGTCTGAAGTTGTTTCTAGGAAATCCCCTATATCTTGGCAGCAGGTTTGCACCCCTAAGAAATAAGGTGGTTTAAATATTATCTCGTTGTATGATTGGAATAATGCAAATCTTCTGAAGCTTTTATGGAATCTGGCCGGTAAGGATGATAACCTTTGGGTGTGTTGGATTCACTGTTACTATACGAAAGGTAGGGATATTATGAATGTGCATGTAAAAAAATCTTGCTCGTGGATCTTTAAGGCCATTTTAAAACAAATGGAAGGTATTAGGCAAAACATGAGATGGAGTACAATGCTGCAATAGGACAGGTTTATCACTAAGGTGGTGTATAAAGAAATTAATATGCAGTTGCAGGAAGTTTAAGGTAGAAACAAAATCTTCTTTGGTGAACTTACGAAGCTACCCTTCTAAAATTACAACTTCTTTACTCGCAAAAGGACTTTCTCGAAAACACTACGACTAATTTTTTATTGATAGAAAGTAAACAAAATAATATTTTAGAGAGAGAGTGAGAAGTGAGAAATGAAATCACATTTATGGATTGATAAAAATAGTGGGCCAATCAATTGACAATATGGACCAATCGATTGACAATATGCACCAATTGATTAGTTGCCTAAGAAATAATCGATCATTGAGTTAAAAATGCTAAGGAGAGATATTTAGTTGTTATCCATCATTAAGATGATGTCCTAATCATTTAGGGCGCAATTTTGAGTTTTCCCAATCGATTGGGATAAGGTGTCAATCGATTGGTAGAGACAAAATTTTGCCCAGAGCTATTTTGACATCTCTCATTTCATTTGGCACGACTTCAAGACATTTTTTAAAATATTTTCTTGACAAAAGTAATTTTTAAAACTTGTTTATGTGTATGTGTGATTAGTCATGCCCTTTTACGAGAATGCCCTTATGCTTTTACAATGTATCTACTCAGACATATCGAGGCAGTGTTGTCATACTTCAAGACTTATCAAATGTTTCTCTCTCGTAGACACTTACTTGAGTTCACTTGAGATGAGGTTTGAGCTAAGTTTCATTTGACTGCCATCATCAGAGAGTCAAGTCTTTCAAACTCTAATAATTTGGTTTGCATCTTTAACCACTTTTATATTTGACTTTATTCATCATTAGACATTAGTTGTCATCATCAAAAGTTGTTATCCTCATTTAAGACATATCACCTAAAAGTAACTTGCAAAACAATGTTCCATATTATCTCCCTTTTTGACGATGACAACACACCTCTCAGTGGAGGTGGAAAAATAAATAAAACAAATGTGTTTGGAGTAATTAAACTCCCCCAAGTTAGATATAGAGTATATTCTACTCTCTCTGAGAGTATATGTTCTCCCATTTGTCGAAATCAAAAGGCGAGTAAAGATGCATTGCAATAATTTAAATATGCAAAAATAAGCAGATAAACATATATATATATATATATATATATATATATATATATATATATATATATATATATATATATATATATATATATATATATATATATATATATATATATATATATATATATATATATATATATATATATATATATATATATATATATATATATATATATATATATATATATATATATATATATATATATATATATATATAAAAGGGAACAACATAATTACTTTTTTTTTATTAATTAAAAATATTAGGAATTCAAAGTACAAAAGAAAATTTGTGGAATTGAAATAGTGTGAAAAACACAAAAGTATAAGATTCTGATACGCACATAAAATGAGATAATTCAATTCCGTACGTATCATAATCCATTGGCATGATTTTCTTCATCATAATCATCAGCTTCGTGAATTTCTCCATGCTTGACAAGAACTTTAATTTTGAACCTAAACGGAGACTTGATCACGCAATCCTTAAACCAAATCTATTTACGAGTTTAGTTTTGAACCCAAACAAACAATCTCTAAGTGGATAAAATGTTCTACCAAAGTAAAAACAAAATCTTCCTTGGCGAACTTACAAAATTACTCTTCTAAAATTACAGCTTCGTTACTCGCAAAAGGACTTTCTCAAAAAACAATACGACTAAACTTTATTAAGAGAAAGTAAACAAAATAATTTTTAGAGAGAGGGTGAGAAGTGAAATCATGTTTCTGGATTGATAAAAAAGAGTCAACCAATCGATTGATAATATTCACCAATCGATTAGTGGCCTAAGAAATAATTGATTATTAAGTTAAAAATGGGAAAGAGAGATATCTAGTTGTTACCCATCATTAAGATGATGTCCTAATCGCTTAGGACGCAATTTTTAGCTTTCCCAATCGATTGAGATAAGGTGTCAATTAATTGGTAGAGACAAAATTTTGCCTAGGGCTATTTTGGCAGCTCTCATTTCATCTTGCACGACTTCAAGACATTTTTGAAAATATTTTCTTGAGAAAAATAAGTTTGAAAACTTGTTTATGTTTGTGTGTGTGTGTGTGTGTGTGTGTGTGTGTGTGTGTGTGTGTGTGTGTGTGTGTGTGTGTGTGTGTGTGTGTGTGTGCGTGTGTGATTAGTCATGCACTTTTACAAAAATTCCCTTATGCTTTTACAATGTATTCACTCATACGTATCGAGACAATGCTTTTATACTTCAAGACTTGTCAAATGTTTCTCTCTTGTAGACACTTACTTGAGTTCACTTAAGATAAGACTTTAGTTAGGTTCTATTTGGTTGCCATCATCACAGAGTCAAGTCATTCAAACCCTAATAATTTGGTTTCTATCTTTAACCGCATTTTATGTTTGACTTTAGTCATCATTATACATTAGTTGTCATCATCTAAAGTTGTTATCCTCATTTAAGACATATCACCTAAAAGTAACTTGCTAAACAAGGTTCCACATTATCCTCCTTTTTGACAATGACAATGCATCTCTTAGGGGAGGTGGTAAAAGAAATAACATAAATGTGTTTGGAGTAATTAAACTCCCCCTCAGTTAAATAGAGAGCATACTCTACTCTCTCTGAGAGTATACTTTTCTCCCTTTATCGAAATTAAAAAGGCGAGTAAAGATGCATTGCAATAATTTAAATATGCAAACATTAAGCAAACAAGTATATATAAAAAGGAACAACACTATTTTTTATTAATTTAAAATATTAGTAATTCAAAGTACAAAAGAAAATTTGTGTAATTGAAATAGTGCGAAAAACACAAAAGTAGAAAATTCTCATAAACACATTGAAGTAGATAGGCAACAGATGAGGGATGGGAAACAGATAGACAACTTTACAGCATATGAGGATGCTTACTTCAGAACTTGGTATAAAAAGTATTTTCCAAAGTCAAAAACCCTTCCTTTCTAATAGCAAAGATTAATTTCCCAAGACCACTAGAGATAGTAGAGGTATGGTTTCTGGGAACCCAAATGATAGTATCCACCCTGTGAAGAATAGCATACTTCACACTGAGTTTTCCAACAAATAACTTTCCTTCATTTGGCCAGTGCTTCACTTGCCCATTTGTTATCTCCTTGCAGACTTCCCCATTTATAACCTCTAATTCAGCTTGAGGTTCTTCAGACCTGTCTAGAAAATAATTGATCACAGCATGAGAAAAACTCACAACCTTTCCCTTGAAATACACTTTCTTGTAATCTTTATTTTTCACATCATCACATTTATCAGGTACATTCACTACAAATTTTTTGACTAATCTTTCATAACAAGGGCCAAA